ATAACAAGGCTTCTGTAAAGACTCCCCATTTTCTAGAATCAGTGAACCTAATGAGAACTTGAAATTCATCCCACAGCTCTGCCAATAAGTATTTCAGCTATAGTAAGTTAATTGGCGATCTTTTTTCCCCTCCCCTCCCCTCCCCTCCCCCCCTCCCCTCTCTCTCCTCAAAAATTCCTGGAAATGGTGCAAGGCACATTGTCATGACAGAAACCGATAAATACTAAAAACGGAGAATTCTGGAGGTGACTCTTAGAAAAAACTCTGCAGTCAATATCAAGCGTCTACACTTCCTTCTGGATTTGAAAACTTCCGATTTGTGTAGCATATCTCTATGTCTTCTTTTTCTTCTCTTCTTTCCCTGCTGCCCATACTTATCCATTCACTTCCTGAACATTTCTCTCTCATGAACACTACTCTAACCGGGTTAGACTCCTCATTACTCTTTGAACATTTTCTGTTCCTTTCCAACTCTACCCAAGCTTTTCTTCATATCTCAAATGAGTACGTACAGAACCTAGTAAACTTATTGCAAATTGATTATTTCCTTCAAAAGTGAGATGCAAAACTCAAAAGTGAAAGCTTTCATTGTTGGCCTTAAAAATATGTAAGGTTACTGCCCTGGCCAGGTTGCTCAGTTGGTTGGAGTGTCCTTCGTACAGCAAAATGTTGCAGGGTCGATTTCTGGCCAGGGCACATACCTAGGCTTTAGGTTCCTTCCCGAGTTGGGCTCCATGTTTCTCATATCGATGTTTTTTTCTTTTTCTCTCTCTACCTTCCTCTCTCTAAAGTCAATTAAAACATATCCTCGAGTGAGAATTTTTTAAAAAGTAATGTTGTGAAATAATACAGGCATTTGGAAGTCCCATGTTTGACTTCCTATAGATGTAGATCAGAGCCCTTCTGTTATATATAAAACACCTTTGCTTGTTTGGCGATTCAGAATCATTGTTGAAGGGATCCAGTGTCAGGAGAGACATAAAGGATCAAGCACTGAGACCAAATGCAGAGAGAGGACCAAACATTAGTGTAAGGAGAATAGAGGTGGGTTCAAATTTGAGTACTGCTTGAAACGAGCAATTCACTACTTGGGTACCAGGTGTTGGAATAGCGCCTCCTTTTCCGGGTTTCTGGCATTGCGGGGATGGAGAGAAAGGATAGCATGGGACATTTCCCCTTTTATTAAACCATAGAAATGTATGAACATTTCATTTTAAATGAATATATACATTAAGATAATATCTTACAGCATGCTATCACATGTGTGTAATAAACTGAAGGGAAAAGTGCTTCCCACGGTGCAAACACAAACCAAAAAGGACATATTCAGTTTCAAAAGTATTAGCTTCTGTGCTAGACCTTTTCCCTCATGACAATGGCTACCAGACTTGAAAATGAAGCTCTGTCAGGAGAATGGAAAAACATTCGTGCCGTGAACTGACCTGAAACACTCAGTTACACACATCCCTTGGTCCTTTGTGGTAAATCATGGTAGACGCCAAGAAATTTGAAGGGAGGGATAATGATAATAAATTATCAGATTGTTTTCCCACACATACAGACAGTAATCAACTAAATACTTGCCAGCAAGTAAGCACAAAATAATTCATGAACCTGCCCTATAAGATAAAAGAAATTTCAATTGTCTCTCCTTTTAAGTGTCCCAGTCACTCCCTCATAAAAATGTTTACTTTTGGCAAATATAAAGATTCCCGAGGCAGAAATGATGGTTCTCCCTGGCATCAGGCAACCACAATTGTCCACAGTTCACAACTGGACACAGAACCACTTTAAGATTTTTTTTTTAATCCTCACCCAAGGATATTTTTCCATTTATCTTCAGGTAGAGCAGGAAGGAGGGAGAGAGGAAGAGAGAGAGAGAGAAATATCGATATGAGAGAGCCACATCGATTGGTTGCCACCTGCATAACCTCAACTGGAGCCAGGGATGAACCACAACCGAGACACATGCCCTTGACCAGAATCGAAACCAGGACTCTTCATTCCCCAGGCTAGTGCCCCAACTGCTGAGCCAAACTGGCCAGGGCACCACTTTAAGATTTAGCACAGGTCATCATCTCTAAACAGACCTCAGTGGGCACTTATACCCTGTTCATAAAATGGTGGAGATGATCTCTAAAATATTTTAGCCAAGCTGTATATCTGGAATGCCTTTAATTTCACTCATGAGAGCCCATAAGCAGTATTCATCATACTTGTTTTCCTGCCATGGGTTCACTAAGAGATACACACATTTTTTTCATTCTGTATACTGATTAATAAATCATCAGTTATTGATTGAGATACAGATCGCCGAAGTGCCTCTAGTAGCCTCTTTAAGAAGATGGAAATTGTTATTAGAATCTAAATGAACCGCTTCTGGTCTGTGCATTCTTGAGTAGATGCAAGCAACACCTTGATTATAGCTCACCCTGACTAACACACACATCTAAACACATTGTATTTTAAAGTAAATTATAGATGTTATAACAAATAATATAACCATATCACATATAAAACACCCTTTTGGATGCCAGTGTGTAGCCACTATTTAGTTTTAAAACGAGCGGCAGAAGTTTTGGGTGACTTTATTTTTTTTTAAAATTTACCATGCATTTTAATATAAACGTAATACTTTTCTCCTAGATGTTCAACATGTCATTAAATGCAGCCTTCCTCTATTTTCCAAGTTGTGCTATAGTTAAAATGTCCTCTAACTCAGACATTTTTGCTGGTTTTGTTTGTAGGAAACAAGTGCGAGGTGAGAGCAGACTGGGTAAGGAGTCATTAAACCAGAATGGTCTCCCGTAGTCACCTCCTAGCTTAATAAAAACAGAGAAATCATTCAGTTTGAATGTGTTCAGAGAAACATCCTTTTTTTTTTTTTTTTCTTTAAAGACAAACTAATTTTATTTATTTATTTTTATCCTCACCCGAGGACACTTTTTCATTCTTTGTTCAGATAGAGCAGGAGGGAGAGAGAGAGAGAGAAACATCGATGTGAAAGGGACACATCAAGTGGCTGCCACCCACACGACCAACCAGGGCCAGGGACAAACTGCAACCGGGGTACATGCCCTTAGTGGGAACCGAACCCGGGTCTCTCCGGACCTTAGGCCGACGCTCTAACCGCTGAGCCAAACCGGCCAGAGCGAGAAACATCCTTTTTAAATTTACCCTTCTCTACTCCAAAAATATGTTTAAGTGTTAATAAAAATAATTTACAAGAAACATAGTGGAACTTATGTGTCCTAATAACTCAAACAGTTTTGGAAAGTAAAATATGCTTTGATGGGCATTCAGTTCATATTTGATCAAAGACTAATTTGCCCGCTAGGGAGAAACATTTTCTAATTGTCATATAAAATATAAAAACAAAGGCTCTATGGTTTGGACAAGTTACTAAACTAATTTGGTTTTCTAATAAATAAAGGTAGTAATAGTAAGTACTTCACAAAGTTAAAGATTAATAAGATAGCATATATAAAACCCACAGCAAAGTGTCTAGCATATATGTTTTCAGAAATAATATCTATTTTAAGGAAAAAAGTCAAAAGAAGAAGAGTTTCAAGAGATTAGTCAGCAGTGTCCAAGTGACCTCGGGTCACTCAGAGAAGCAGGACTGCAGAGTGAGAACTCACAATACAGTGTTTTCTTCTAGAATGTGATGAATGCATGCCTGAAAATCACTCCTTCTGCAGAACTGTACAGTAAAAATAATAGAGCTCATGGGGAAACATTAAGATGTGGGCAGACCACACAAAATCTATTCAGCTTTAGGTTGTTGTTAGTTCTCTAGTTACAATCCTAATAAAAATATTAACTTCATTAATTCTTTAGCAACATTTGTGCCCAGCATCCCAGTCAGCTAGCCTCTTGCATCATACTCCCTCTTAAGTGGAGATGAGAGTTATTGAATGCATCTGATTCCAGTAGTTTCATCAAAGTTAAATGTCTGATTCAAGATAGAGGGATAATTGTCTCCATAGTATGTTCAGCTGTAATTGCAGCTTTAGCAGAGAGCTGAACTTTTGAAAACTGTAGGGTTCTTGACTTCACTAGACCAGCCTCTATTTGTGCTACAGCAATGGACTTGACAAGCTTTTTAGCCACTCATCTTCAGTTTTATAGGCCTTTATACATTGCTAAGTCTTTCTCATTAATTGGGATGAAAGTTTGCTCCTGATCACTTTAAACCATTAACATGCTAGAAAAAAAAAAAAATGATATGAACTAGCAGGACAAACACATTCCAAATTATAATGATATTGCTTACTTACCAATAACAAAGGATCTCTTTCTTCTTAAAATAGAAATACATGTTATAGCAGAATATACTGTGTATAGGATGAAAGAATTCTACATTCCCCTAAAACTCTTTGTAACTAAGTTGTTAATAAGAGAATAAAGGGATATAAATTAAGCATGTTTCGATTGTTCCTTCTGTTTCACGTATATCAAACACTTTTAGGGGCAATTTAATGGTTTAGCTACATTAGAGACATCTGTTAGTATTTTCTTACATTTTTCTTGTGCTCACTCACAGCTAATAGAAGTCTGTGTAACTATTTCTGGATCACTATCAGAATTTCTATTCCTGCTAATAATTGCTGTTTAGTATCAATTTGATTTATGTAATTCCTGTAGCATTATTTTTCTATACAAATACCTTGCAGAGGTGCCTTGGAGATATTTCTAGCTAGTTCTAGCACTGAGAGGTCAAACTGCCTATATTGCATTTCGGAAGATTGTTGTCCGAGATAAGCAAAGACCATTTTATTCAAATTATTCCATAGATACAATATACTTTGTGTTTTGTGTTGGTAGTAAAGTACTACACACTAACTGGCTCACTTCAAATCTTGAGACTTACTAAAAACAGTTTCACTGTGTTTTAATCGTGTCACTTTATATCAGTGCTAAAGCAGCAAGTTGATACTTTACTCACAAATTATATGCTTAATTTTGTTGGATAACATTTTTATGTCATTTTATTTTAGCTACTTTAAAAAGAGATGATTCCATTATTTCAAGTCCTGATGTCAAGGATATTGCTCCAAGTAGAAAGAAGAGGCAGCGGATGCAAAAGAATCTTGGGGCCAAACCAGAAATGGTTCCTCAGGAATCTCAGCCTCAAGGAAAGGAAATGTAAGTCATCTTATACTTTGCAAAATGGTGAGGCGACATTAAAAAAATCTAATATGTAATCTTTAAAATCATATTTTTATTTCTGAATTTAAGGTTATTTTTAAAGAACAAAAATTATGATTTGGGAAATTGTAAAATGTTTAATTCCATTTATTTTCCCTGGTATTCAGTTAATTCCTGTTAATATTTAAAACAGAAGGACCACAAATATAAACAAATTTCTTTTGGGGGTGATTTATAGATTAATTAAAAATGGCGTATAAGACACTAAAAATATTTAAATCCAGCTTGTGTTCAGTAACGTGTTTCAATCTAATTTACTGTTTTAAAGAGACCCATATATCATTAAAATTAACCACTTGATTTGGTTATGCTTGAAATTTTTTCATATCAAATGTTGCTTTCTAGTCACCTATTTATTTCTTTTAAATTTTAGTCTTATATACTTCATTTTTATAATTTACTCTATAGTTCTGACTATCCTTCCTTTGATATGCATAGGTTAGGTTAGGTTAGGTTAGGTTAGGTTAGGCTAATAAACATTTCATTTTAGCAAAATAACCAGCATTTATAAGGGATATCATCAGTTGAATAAAAAACAAACGTGTGCAGATCATTTGTATGTTTCGATATATGTTATGCATGCCTGAGAATTTATTTTTTTTTCTTTAAACTTAACATTAATTTGGCAAGTAGTTATTCAACAATAGTCATATAACAGGTGATATTGCAGACCGGTGGTTTTCAAAGTGTGGAATGATGAAGATCCCAAGGTATTTGTAGTGATCCACAAGATATCTCTTTAGTTCTCTAAACTAGGCCAGATTTTGTTCACATATTTCTTTTTTTTTTTTTTATTCTCACCCGAGGACATTTTTCCATTGTTTTGTTCAGATAGAGTGGGAGAGAGAGAGAGAAACATCAATGTGAAAGGGAAACATCGAGTGGCTGCCGCCCACACTACCCAACAGGGCCGGGGACAAACTGAACCCAGGTATGTGCCCTTAGCGGAAACCGAACCCAGGTCTCTCTGGACCGCAGGCCGACGCTCTAACTGCTGAACCACACCGGCCAGGGTGTCTTCACATATTTCAATTAAAATAACATGTCACCTGTGATTGAATGCAGATGCTAGTGAGATTCCAATACTTTTTCTTCATGCCAACCATCAAACAAATTCGTAAAAGTGTAGAACATTGACCTTACAGGACTTTTTTCTTTGGGAAATACAAAGATTTTCTTTTATAAAGAATATATTATTTGTGTTATATACTGAATTTACTTTTATTTTTAAATTAATTAATTAAGATTTTAAACATTTCTTAGTGTTAATTTTGGATAGTCTATATAAACAAAAGTTCGTGGAGTCCTCAAAAATTTAAAAGTGTAAAGGAGTCTTGAGAACAAAAAGCTATAGTTACAGACCATGAAGATGCCAGGGCAGGCACATGCAATCTATGCCTTCAGGAAACTTACAGGCAGCCTGACAGGAGGGAATTCTCGAGTTTCTTACATAAAAGATAAGAATTTTACAGTAAATAGTGGAATTGTTTTATTTGTTTATTTATTATTGGGTCTTTATTCTCTCCACAATTGGCCTGATCCACTAGGACTTGAAAATGGCATTTGTATACTATAGTGGGTCCCTTATGCTTTCAGATACTATATGTGAAAACCCAGTGTGTGCTACTTTACTGGTTGTATTTATTATGTAAATGTATTCATTAGCTCATAACCCCCTGGCTTCCTAGAGTTCAAAGTATTGTATTATCTCTTAAATAACGAATCAAAAATATTTCCAATTTGAAAACATTAGAGTAAGCAAACTATTTCTATAGGTTAATAATGGGAAAAATAAAATTACAGTTTGAAATATTCAGAAAACTCCATACTTCATTCAGTCAAATAGTGAGCAGATGAGCAACGAGTATCAGTTACGTGTCAGGTGTAATGTTGGGTGCTGAGGATTCAGGAGTTGAAAGTAGACACCGTCCCTGTCGTCAAGGAACTTTCAGTCTAACTATTTTGTCTCATTTTAAAGATTCAGGGTCTGGGGGAAAATGAATATATTGGTTTTATGTAGGAGAGCTGCATCTTAAGTCTTTCTGCTCTGTGTGTGAACTAAGTATAAGGTTTTGAAGTTACTAACACTTTCTGAATACATATATTGCTTAAGCAGGTTTCTTATATGCAGGGTGCAACGATGAAAGAAGTTTAGATCTGAATCAAAGACTAAAGTTTTATTTAGGCTTTTTACTAAAGGCAATGTGTTTGTTTCTTCCAACATATATGCAGTTAATATTGTGTTCATTTTCTTTTCCGTGTTTAGACTTCATGTCAGTATCTATTTTGTATACTTTACTTTCAAAGTTGATATAAATCATGTTAGCTTTTTAATCGCCTGATAATTATATCATTGTGAACCTTCAGGCTCAAATACTGATGATTAACCTTCATCTTACATTTTTAAATTTAAATACTACCTGTTTCTACCTTACTAAACACCTTTTTACTCCAATAAGTTCTCATCAACAATATGTGTATCAGTGAGGTTCATGTACTCTAGCTGTAGCCTCCCAAACAAATGCAGATGTGGGTAGATTGTTATTTAGGGGTGAAAAGATATTGACCCCTAACTTGAAACATCACCTTTCCCTGAGCCCTTCTTTAAGAAACTCTATATCCTCAATTCCTTCAGATATTCCTATTGGGCAATCTCTATCTCTTTTCTTTGGCTTCTTCAGCTCTGTGTTTCAAGAACAAAGTTTGGGAAGGGATGATCATAGATACTCTGGTTTAAATTTGTTTTTAATGTTTATCAGACTTTGTGCAAGTTATTTCACTTCCTGGGATTTAGTTCTCTTGTGTGTATACGAAAGGATTGAACTAGATTATCTGTAAAATCTCTCCTAATATCTATAATTCTATTAACACTTTGAACAATTTACCACTTTCAAAACATAAACATGAATTAGCAATAAATTTTTAAAAATATGTCTATGGATGAGAATGTATTCATCTTTAAAATGTATGTATTTATTAATATTTCACAAGATAAAAATTTTAGTACATTTTTAAATGCCATGGGTTATTTTGTACTTTAAAAAAACAAACTAGGTACATATATACACACACATAAACACACACACACACAATATATATTTATACACACACACACCCAGCTGGTGTGGTTCGGTAGATTGAGCATCATCCCATGGACTGAGAGGTCCTGGTTCAAGTCCAAGTCAGGGCATATGCCCAGGTTGCAGGCTCAATCCCCAGTGCGGGGCATGCAGGAGGCAGCCAATCGATATTTCTCACATTGATGTTTCTGTCTCTCTCTCCCTCCCTCTCTAAAAAAGAAAATTAAAAACCCCCAACATATTTTATATACACACACACACATAATAAACTATATTGATACTAATCTTTAAAACAAAATTTGGACACCTACATTCAAAAAAATGAAACTAGACCACCAACTTACACCATATACAACTTACACCATGAACTCAAAGTGGATAAAAGACTTAAATGTGACTCATGAATCCATAAAAACCCTCGAAGAAAATGTAGGCAGCAAAATCTCAGACATCAGACACAGCAGAATTTTCACTGATACAACACCTAGGGCAAGAGCAACAAAGGAAAAATTAATAAATGGGACTACATCAAATTAAAAAGCTTCTGCACAGCAAAAGAAACAAGCATCAAAGTGAAAAGGAAACCCATTGTATGGGAGAACATAATTGGCAATGATACATCAGATAAGGGATTAATCTTTCCAAAATATATAGAGTACTCGTACAACTCAAAAAAAGGAAGACAAATCCAATTTAAAAATGGGCAGAGGACCTCAATAGACACCTCTCCAGATAGGACATACACAGGCCAAGAGACATATGAAAAAATACTCAGTGTCACTGATCATCAGAGAGATGCAAATTAAAACAACTATGAAGTATCACCTTACACCTGCCAGAATGGCCGCCATCAACAAATCATCAAACAACAGGTGCTGGCAAGGGTGTGGAGAAAGGGGAATCTAGTGCACTGCTGGTGGGAATGCAGACTGGTGCAGCCACTATGGCAAACAATATAGTATTTCCTCAAAAAATTAAAAATTGAACTTCCATTTGACCCAGTGATCCCACTTCTAAGAATATACCCTAAGAAACCTGAAACACCAATCAGAAAGAATATATGTATCCTTATGTTCATAGCAACACTATTTACAATAGCTAAGATCTGGAAACAGCCCAGTGTCCATCAGTAGATGAGTGGATAAAAAAGCCGTGATACATATACACAATGGAACACTACGCAGCTGTAAGAAAGATAGATCTCTTTTCCTTTGAGATGGCATGGAGGGACATGGAGGGTATTATGCTAAGCAAAATAAGCCAGTCAGAGAAAGACAAATACCACATGATCTTACTTATTTGTGGAAAATAATGAACAAAATAAGCTGATGAACAAAATAAACCCAGAGACATACAAGTAGGATTCAAACTGACAAAACTCAGTGGAGGTGGGTGGAGAGGAGAGAAGAGATAAACCAAAAACTTATATGCATATAAGCATAAGCAATGCACATAGACCACAGTGGTGGGGGGGTGGGGGGGGGCGGAAAGGAGGTGTCAATGGAAAAAGGAGAAACATGTAACAAAAATTAATTTTTTTAAATTATGGTAATTTTCAAATTTATTTTAGCATTTACTACGATACTGTCATTGTTTTAGTGACAAGGTTTTGAAGAGAGAAAAAGATAAGATTTATGATAAATGCTTCATATATGAACTCTCATTGAAATCTCACACAACTCCTACAAAGCAGGTATTAATTTCCCTCTCTTAGAGAGGAAAAACAACCAGAGCTTAAAATTATATAATTATTTTTCCAAATCAGCAAAGCCAATGTTTTATTTTAAAGCCTGTACTTGCTCCACTGCCTCAAGGAGCTTATACTCTATTGAGAGGCAGAAATACACACAAGTAATT